ATAATGAACTACGCGTGCGCATTAATGGATGGAATTTAGCTCAATTGTAACACTGATAAGCATGGAGCACGAACCTAGTTTCATGCACTTTAGCCTTTTGACTTTCCATGAAGTTTTTAGCCGTTCGCATTTCATTTTTTTGAAAATCCGTTGGTTAGCTGGCTGGCATGCCTTTGTTTTTAGCACTTTAATGAGATAGTCACGAATAAAGCCACAGTGGAAGAATAGGGAAATCAACTTGCGCCAACCGTTTAAATAACTGGTGGTCACACTCAAAATCTAATCAGTCACATGTCCGACTGCCTCGTCATCTTGCTGAACTGCTGCGGTACTCTTGTCGTCGACGCTGACAGTGAGACGGACTCTTCTTATGTTTTGAGGCTTTACATCCAGTTTAAATTACGTGGTCTTGAAACGACGTGACCTGCCAATATCCTCCCACGGCCGTAAGTTTCGATTCTTTACCTGATTCGAAGCGCTGGCACATACATTACCCTTCCACTAGATTTTCTCGATCGAAAACGACCATATAGCACTTTTCCTCCGGAGTACATCACAGAACCTAATGGGACACGGCGAGCGTCGTCGAGGGTATTGAATCCTTGGTGAAACCACTCGACTGTGCGATGGTGCGAAGTCTGTTTACCTTACTTGCTATCCTTAGTACAAAATGTGACGTGGTCAGACCATGGTCTGCAATAGGCTTCGACCGGGAATCACACAAGAATTCGTACGGAATTTCTTAACTATGTTTTTCTGATAATCTGGCTGTCCCAACTCCCCATGGCAACCGAAGTATGGCGAGAGCATCATCTTCAGACATCGTTGGGTCGCAAAAGTAACTGTTATGTTGCGCCAGACCCATACGGAAATGGTTAAGTAGATCGTACACATGCGGCGATGCCTTTGCGACGCGTCTTTACTCCACCAAATCTTATTTCCAGTTGGCTTGCTTTGGGTTTGCCTCTGGTACCCGATGCAGGGCGAATGAGGCTAACTTTACGCAACTTCTTATTAACGAATCTGAGCCCCATGCGTCGGGGCCTAGATAGTAGGCAACTGATGAGATAACCCGCTACTCAAAAAATTTCAAAAATCACTTTTCTAGAGTTCCGTCTTGATGTGATTTTATGACCCTCATTCTTTGGGATTTAGCGCGCCTGTAACAACCATTGAACTGGGTTTTGACAGCTCGGCCAGTGCGCTGTAGCAATCCCCAGTCGTCTCGCCTTTTTTCTTAAGAACAAGGTAGATAGAGGAGAAAGAGATATATGTTGCGCCACCTCCCATGACGGCGTTAATCGTGGACGACTCATCCGGGCGACCTGTCATATCACTTTCGAAATCTCGCGGCGTTTCGGGGCTGTTATCTCACAAACTTCAAGTACTTTGTAGGACGTGTTGCTCAGAATTTAACAGCAATCATATGATTCTTGTACTAAGGATTATAGTTTTGCTATGATCGCGAACTGTCTTCAAAAGTTCAGCATATTATGCCTAAGGTAAATGTAAGAGTTCCCGAAACAGACCTGGAACGAAGTATAGATGGCCGGGGCTTTATAATAGTATTTGTATGTTTACTTTTTTCTAGTTAATAATCATTGATAAACGGGTATAGTAACGGCCAACGCTGGCGTGCGTGGCCTTTGTTTAGCTGTCGAGACCAGTGGAATGGGTTTGAACAAACAACACGCTCTTACCCACTTTGCGTCCCAAAACAGCTCTGAAGAGACTTTCTCGGAACGATGTTAATTCGCTCTTGTAATATAACGGTGTCAACCCTCCTAACAACACCACTCTTAACGCCATTCCCTGTTGCCATTACCGCGCTCCACTTCTTTCACCTCATCCTTTTTATTTTAGAGTCAACTTATCGAAGCATGGTGAACTAAAATTCCTTTTCGACGTCTGTCGATGCAAAGGCAGAGTTTGTTATAACGTTTCTGATATGAATGAGATCCCAAACACCAATGCCTCATGTGTCGGGATTTCCGGAAGTCGGACCTTTTCGCTAAAGCAGCCTGACGCGGGTTTGCTGCCGCAAAACTTCAATGGAAATCAACCCTCTGAAATGCCTCAACAGGCCGAGGCGGCACCAACGGCATCAGCCTCATATGGCTGGCTTCCCTCCACCCAGAAGCCGCTGCCTAAGCGCATGGGTGGCACGCTAGTTCAGGACCCGCGCCTGCTGTGGGAAAATAGTTTCTCCTGTCTGGCTTCTGACAGTGGAAACACGGGCAATCTGTGGGAGCCTGTCAATAGCACATCAACTGCACAACCCATTGCAGTGAAGGATGCCCTTCGCGATACACCTTCTGTAGGCAGGAATTCTCAGGCCACTCTAAACTGCTTCTCAAACTTTGGCTTCGGATACACGGATGGAGTTCTCATGTCGCCTAGTTCAAAAGATATGGCTGTGCTTGGCTTACAAATGGCCGACCAAGTTCTCAGTAACTCACCGAATACTGGTAAGCAGACAGATGATACTAATACTGTTAAAAGTATAAAACTGTTTTGGTGAGACCTGGAAATAGGATCCCCTCGTAAAACAGGTGACCTTGCGATAAATTCCATGAGGTTGGGGTTGGGGCTCCAGTCACCGTTTGCGTTAGGGTAAGGACACTGAAATAGGCCACCTTCGAGGAATTTGGCGCAAAGCCACCTCCATTACCGGGGATTTCTGTTCCTGTGTCATAGTTTTTTATGTCGGTTAGGTTTTAAATCCTATCTTGACCAGTTAGGTTTAATGTAACCATGGTAATGCCTGATGCTACAGGCCTCAAGTAATGCCGCGGACAATACTTTCCACACACGGCAGTGGGTCTAAAGAGCGCGACCATCAGTCGCTAGGCTGGTTCGGGGTGCTCTCCTCTGATACTTGGACTATTTAAAACGAAAAGAACCAGATACCGAGAGTAAGTTTAATATCGATTGATGGTTGTTGTCACACAATCGTCATCGGAGTTTGTGGTATTCTGTAGTCCAGTTCGTGTGCCAGACCACAAACCTTAGCATCCACGATTAGTTACTCACTAACTTCCACTGATACTCTCACTATCCCCCATCCGTGGACGGCACTTAAGACTAACGAGTTAACGTATCTCCTCTGCGTTTTTACCAAGCGGAGAAAATGAGGCCGACAGCTGCTTGTTGTGTGATAAATTTTTCGCATTACGTGGGTTCGATCAAGCAAAAATCAGTGCCGAATGCTTTCCGTGCGCAAGTCTGACAAACTGGAGTTACTTTTTTTGCGCAGCAAACGAAGGGAACTCTCATCTCATCTGCTAATGTGCAGCTTCTGCTCCAAATAGTCTTGGCCCTTTTCTGCTATTAAGGAGTCGCTACACTATGCTTGTCATAATATTGCGAGCACCTTCCATGCCTCCTATTTGAAATCTACATTTGGCCTGCAATCATAGAGGTGTGACTCGGAGAGGACTTTCGTGTTTGCGGTACTCTATAAGTTCGTTTACGCGTTACACTTACCAGTGTGGACTAATAGTAGGTTTTTGACCTGACTGCTGCGTTGACGACGGGTTTCAGCCCTAAAGTATTCTTAGTGATATTCTTCTTCGCATGAAGTCAAGATTCTTCTCAACAGAGAAGGGTCTAGTAGGTCTTTCGAGCAGCCGAAGTTATTCAAATGTTTCATACTATACGCTTGAACCAAGGTGTCATCGTCGGCTGAACCGTCGACAGCTTTACTGACTTTCATGACCCTGGATTTAAGCTTTGCCCCACGGCCAGTTCGTGAGCAGTGTACGCTGTGTAT